TGATGGTCGACCTTTTACTGCTTCCGGAATAACAGGCGGACGAGGTATATCATCACGTGCTACGGGTTCGGCAAGGTGAATTTTATTTATAACCTCGTTTATTTTGGAACCCCGAAGTTTGAAGTCAACTCGAGCTTCCAACAATTTGTCACAAGCCTATATATAAATATATATATATATATAAAATTCACGGGTGGTTTTCGTATCGTGAAATTGTGTCAACAAACATAGTTTATGAAATATAAACTGATCGATTTACCGCGTTGCGAACGTTCATCACACCTTCGTCGGTGAGACAACTCAGCTGAACTATCTGAACACCATCTTTCTCGACGATTTCCTTTATCATGGCTTGATCCTCCTCGGGCAGATTTTCCGGTCGCATTATGTCAATTTTGTTGATAACGATGAACGTCGGCTTGTTGACAAAAAGGGGTTTGATGTTGTGGTAAAGTTTTATCTAAGGAATTCGAAATTCAGTAAATATCGCAATCGCTCGTCGTATGAACACACCAAGCAGGCATCAACTTATATCACCTGATCGGCAACGCTGTATCCACATTGCTCTGAAAGGTCCATGAAAAACATAATGCAAGCGCGAAGGTGGGCCAAAGCTGTAACGGATTGCATCTCGATGGTATTCATTTCTTCAAGCGGATGATCCAATAGACCAGGAGTGTCAATTACCTGAATTAGACGGCGTGGCGCGTTAAATTTAGGAACGCATCCATGCCAAATAAACATCAAAAAGTTCAGTCGCATTCACCTGCCATCTCAGGTATTTATAATCCATGTGCCCAACGAATAACGATTTCGTTGTAAAAGCATAGGGCTGTACATCGACGTCAGCTCTCGTGACCTTGTTCATGAAGCTCGATTTTCCAACATTGGGATAACCGCAGACCAATAAAGTGCGAGTATTCGGATCTATGGAAGGCAAACGGGCCAAGTGTTGTCGAACCTGTTCCAAATACAACAGGCTGTCCTTCTGACGTTTCAATATGGTGGCCATCCTGAAGGCGACACGTGTTAGCCCACATGTGTATTGTGCATTAGCCACAGGATGAATGATTGATTACCTTCCAAGTGCAGCTCTCTTCAACAACTTGCATCGATACAGCGAATCCCCAAATTTTAATAAGCGAACATACTCTTTGGAAGCCTGCTCTATCAAATGACGCGCGGTATTTATCTGACCCAAGGCTAACTTGTAGTGATCTTTGTCGTATAACACGTTCATCAGATCAGAGTAGAATGGATGGATATCCTATGAGAATAAAACCGAATTTTTCATTTGGCAATCGGCGACACTGGTTAAACGTAGAACTCGACCGAGTCAAGGTCGGTCAGCATGATGATCTTACATCGAGTTTAGGAAATTCGTCGAGCATGGTTTTCAATTTTTCCTCAAAACTATCTTGCGTAAATTTAACCTTGCGCATATAAAATTGTCTTATTCGTCCAATCTTGTAGTTTTTATGAATTACCGTTGGAGTTTTCCGCTGGGTCTTTGAAAGTATTATGTCCAAGAAATCATTTGCCGTGGGGATCGGCTGAATCCTCTTGAAGTTGTATAATGCCATATTTGCGATTTGCGAATGATAAAAAAGAAGGAAAAAAAAATT